AATACTAACAGTATAATATCATTCATGTAAATTTTGTTAAAATGTGAAACAAAATTATCTATTTATATAGAGATACAGGGTGTGTGTGTGTGTGATAATGGGTGGTTATATAATAGCCATTATCCTACAGTGGGAACAGGAATTGGTTGGGAGGTCAAGAGAGCTTTCTGCATTATTTGTATTGTTTGAATCTTTTCCAAGGAAGTAATTTTGTGGAACTATTTTTTTTTAATGAGCAATGATTTTTTTTAAAAAGCAGATGATGTAAAGTAAAAATATTGGGCTTCAAGCTATTGTTCAACTAATCTATGATTTTCTATCTCAGTTTTCTCATCTGTAAAATGGGCAATACAATATCTTCTCTCTTTTATAAGGAGCCTATGAAACAATGCAAATACCATCCACGTGAAACATGTGATTATTGCCACTTGGATTCCTCAGGGAACTGCAGTGGGTTTGACATTCAGACCATGAGCAGAAGCTCTATTATGCCCAGAGGAACATCGGTGAGTGGATGAAGGGGCACAGAGAGGAAAAGCAGTTTGCCTGGGACTACCCAGCTGATAAATGGTGAAGCTGGGGTCCTTGGACTCTCAAAACACAGGAGGAGCGAAGTAGTAGAAACAAGGTACCTCAGCCAGGCCTCTAGGGAGCTGAACAAACCCCCAGTCTCCTCCTAATTGGGAACACGCCGGGTTTAGAAGGGGATTGTTTGTATGTTTTCGCCTGAAAAGGAGAATACATTTTAAATGCTGAACTTAGATCTTGTACAGGTGCCCGAAGCCTGCTTTGAGTAAATTGAGAAAACAGCTGTTGGTTGTATCAGCTATTTTTCTCTCCTGATCCTTCTGCCTTCTCGGTCCGGCTGTTCTGTGTACATCACACCAACAGAGGGCGCTCCTTCTCAAAGCCAATTGATTTGAGAAGAGCCAGTTTGGGTGTACATATCCATACAAAAGTAGACATTTCTGTGTGGCTTCTTCTTCTTTTTTAAAAAATATATTTTTATTCCAGAGAGGAAGGGCGAGGGAGGGAGAGATAGAAACATCAATGATGAGAGAGAATCACTGATGGGCTGCCTCCTGCACACTCCACACTAGGGATCAAGCCCACAACCCTGGCATGTGTCCTGACCAGGAATAGAACCGTGACCTCCTGGTTCATAGGTCAATGTTCAACCACTGAGCCACGTTGGCCTGGCTTTTCTTCTTTTTCCTGTTTTTAACTGTTTGCCATTAGAGTAAAGAAAGTGATTTTTTCTGTCTTGTGGGAGGGGGCTCTCAGTCCATAATCTTCAGAGCACTTTTCTATACATACTCGAGGCATAGAGTGACCACCTGATCTTTTTCTAGTACTTCTTACCAGAAAAACGTGGAGACGTGGAATTTATTTATCTGCTTTACAACCTAGCCTCGTTAAGCCAAGTCAGGGCTGGGCGGCACTCAGCTCTGAGGACACAGTGATCCCTGGGAGACTTGCCAACTTGCAGTCTAGCAGGGAGGCCAATCCATAATCCACATGGTGACAGTATGATCCGTGCCATGACGCCGGTGTGAGCAAGCTCCAGAGGCTGCCTGCCCAGATCTTAGGGAGCTAGGTAGGTGGTGAGGTGGTGAGTAAAGGTCTAGAACAGCAGTTCTCAACCTGTGGGTTGCCAACCTGTGGGTCGCAACCCCTTTGGGGGTCAAACGAGCCTTTCACAGGGGTCGCCTAAGACCATTGGAAAATACATATATAATTACATATTGTTTTTATGATTAATCACTATGCTTTAATTATGTTCAATTTATAACAATGAAAATACATCCTGCATATCAAATATTTACATTATGATTCATAACAGTAGCAAAATTACAGTTATGAAGTAGCAACGAAAATAATTTTATGGTTGGGGATCACCACAACATGAGGAACTGTATTAAAGGGTCGCGGCATTAGGAAGGTTGAGAACCATTGGTCTAGAGGGAAGTGAGGAGTGAGTTCAGATATAAACAAGTTGAGTATGAATGGCCTGAACACCTAAAACCACGAGGAAAGCAATGGTCTTCCATTCAAGAAACACACACTCTAACAAGACAGATGGTGAATAAAATGCAAAGGACTGTCTTACAAGGCCAAATGCAAATGCCAGTTAAGGTCACAAACATGTAGCTGGGATTCCAGCTGCTGCTTCAATTGCAGTTCCCTGCGCTGCCCCAGCTCTTTGCCGTACCCAGGAAGGTGCCGGGTCTACAGGGGGATTCCACATGGGCCACACCTGCCCAGGACTGGTGGGCAGGGGGAAGCACGGAGACTGGCTGTGGTGTGCTAAGTGAGAACTTAGAAACCCTGACTAGGTGAAGGAGGAAGAGAAAAAGGCCGATTGGACGTGGCTGTCAGTGTGACGGATAAGAAGGAAGAGTCGTTCTCCTGGGGCCTGGGCGTCGGGACTCCAGTCCCAAGTCTTCTGCTCAGAGGCTTGCAGCTGTGCCTGCAAGACTGGTCTGAGGGCTTGCTTGAGAGCAAGCCTGCTGCATGGCAGAATGATGGCCTCCAAAGCGGTCCATGTGCCAACGCCCGGACCTGCGAATGTGTTACCCTGCATGGCAACAGGGATTTTGCAGATGTGATTAGGTAAGGACCTGAGAGGAGGAGGTTATCCTGGGTGATCCCAGTGGCCCCAATCTAGTCACAAGTGCTCTTATAAGTGAAAGAGGAAAGCAGGAGGGTCAGAGAAAGAGGGATGCAATTGCTGGCTGGGGGGCCACAAGCCAAGGAATGGGGGCATTCTAGAAGAAGCTTTTAGGAACTGAAAAAGCAAGAAACAGATTCCTGCCCTGGCCAGTTGCTTAGTGGTTAGAGCATCGACCCGTGCGTGGAAGGGTTGCAGGTTCAATTCCCGGTTGAGGGCAAGTACCAGGGTTGCAGTTTGCACTCCGCCCCCAGTGGGGGCATGTGCAGGAGGCAACCAATCAATGTATCTCTCTCACATCAATGTTTCTCTCTCTTTCTCTCTTTCCCCCCTCCTCCCTCCTTTCCACTCTTTCTCTGAAAAGCAATGGAAAAAATATCCTTGGGTGAGAATCAACAAACAAAAGAAAAAATAAATAGATTCCTCCCCTACAGCCTTCACAGCTCTGCTGACACCTAGATTTCAGACCCATTTGGACTCCTGGTCTAGAACAATAAACTAATAAATCTGCATTGTTTTAAGTCACTAAGGTCATGGTGATTTGTTATAATGAAAGGCAACTCCTAAAGACACCTGAGAAACTGTGCCTGGACCAGAATGTTCTGCGACCAAGCCCTGTGAGGTGGAGAGGCCAAGGCTGACGGGGAGGACTAAGTTCATGCCGGAGTTAGTGGGCCCAGATGCTGGCTGTGGTCATGCTACACGTGGGTGGTGCCTTTCTGAGCTTGATGAGCGCTCCTGGACACCCCGTGGTTTGTATGTAATGCTGCGCCGGGAGGGAACCAGGGGTTTCAAGAAGTGCTGTTTACCTCCATGCACTGAGTGTCCATCCTTCACCAGTGTGCACACGGTGGTCCAGAAGCGTGCACCTCTGACTGCCCTCAGACATGGTGCTACTCTCTCTTCTGTGCCCCAACTATATGGATTCCCTGCACCCATAGAGAATTCCCCCAATAAGTGGCTATACCTGGACCTTAGTAGTTATGTCTGTCAGTGCATTGGCGGCTTAGTCTGAAGGGTATGAATCAGAGGCTTTACTCTGGTTTGTTATGACCCGGGGATAGAGGTTTCAGAATGCAGACTTCACTCCAGTTTAAGTGAAGACTTCTTTAATGGTCTCTATCCATTCTTCTATTTCCATGTAGCAAACCCCATTTTTGCAGACTGAAACACGACCAATTAATGTGTTCTTCCAAAGTTAAGCCAATTACCATGGTGTAAATATTCCCACCATGGCCAATGTCATGGTGTCAATGTGATGTTGATGAATGCAGAGTTGGGAAGAGAAGTGTACGATCAGCGCTCACAGGCTGGTAAGAGCTGGTTCCAGCATACACTGTTTGTCTCTACCCTTTCCCTTCACGTTCTCATTGGGAGAAGGAACGCCCCAACAGTAGCAAGGTTGGAATGCTCATGGAGCACTTATGATGGGCCAGGCACTCTTCTAAGGACTTCACATTTAAAACATTTAATTCCTGCCCACCCAGTGTGGCTCAGTAATTGAGCTTCAACCTATGAACCAGGATTTCGTGGTTCAATTCCCAGTCAGGGCACATGCCTGTGTTGCAGGCTTGATCCCCAGCAGGGAACATGCAAGAGGCAGCCAATCAATGATTCTCTCTCATCATTGATGTATCTATCTATCTATCTATTTATCTATCTAGCTATCTCTTCCTCTCTGAAATCAATAAAAAATATTTTTTAAAAAATAAAATATTTAGCCCTAACCAGTTTGGCTCTGTGGATAGAGTGTCAGCCTGCGGACTGAAGGGTCGCAGGTTCAATTCCAGTCAAGGGCACATGCCTGGGTTGCAGGTTTGATCCCCAGTGGGGGGGGTGCAGGAGGCAGCTGCTCGATGTTTCTCTCTCATCGATGTTTCTAACTCTCTATCCCTCTCCCTTCCTCTCTGTAAAAAATCAATAAAATATATTTTAATAAATAAATAAAATATTTAATTCTCACAGCAACTCTGTGTGGTGGGTAGAAATGGGGAAACTGAAGCATGGGTGAAATTACCAGTCCAAGCTAAGAGCTTGTGATATAAACTTAATCTGCTTCAGTGTCCATAATCTTAAACACGACACTAAATTATTCTCTAAAACTGCACTAATACAGTAGCCACTAGCCACATGGGCTATGTTAATTGAAATTAAATAAAATTAAAAATTCAATTCCTCACTCATACCGGACACATTTCAAATGCTGGATAGTCTCATGCTGCTAGTGGCTACTGTATTGGGCAACACAGATATAATACATTTCCATCATCACAGGAAGTTCTATAGTGCTTCCCTAAATAGATTGTCAGAAAGAAAGAAGCCACACATATCTGTTTGGAAACAGTGGATTTAATGGCCTTTATTGACGGCTGTAACATAAAAACTCAAAATACACAGTCCCTATCGCTTCTGCTCTGAGACGTAAATTCATTCATTCATTCATTCATTCATTCATTCAACACGCATTAACTGAGCACCTACTATGTTTCAGGGCCTGTGCTAGGTTCTGGGGATAGAAAGATGAATAAAGGGACACAGCTCCTGCCCTCCAGGAGCTCACAATCCGATAGAGGAGGCAGACAATTAAACTGCCATGAGGAGAGAGTTATGATGGGAGATTCAAGGGTAATACCAGAGACCCAGGCAGCCAGCTTAATTGAAGGCATTCAGGAAAGGCTTCACAGATGGGGTGATTTCCAAACCGGGTGCTGAAAGATGAATAGGAGTCGGCAGGTTTTAGCTATTTTAGGTAGGAAAGTCAGAGAGGCGTGGAGAACATGGGTCACTCAGGGACCAGGGAGTGAGTGGGTTTGACTGAAGTCTAGGATGCCACAGAAGCAGAAGTCAGGTGTTCTCGGTGGTGTGCTGAGGAGGGACAGATGTTGGGGAGGGGAGATAGGGAGAGAAAGAGAAAGAATTTTATTCTGGATGTGCTGAGTTTGATGTGCCTGCAGAACATTCAAGAGGGTGTGTGGGGCTGGAGCTGAAGAGCAGGGTTGGGAAATACGGATTGAAGACCATCAAACCAAGGGCCTGGCAAACTCCTGCAGGGAGTGTGTGCAGACTGCGATGAAAATAAAGTGAGAGTGGCCACAATGAACAAAACCAACTACGGGAAATGGCACATATCAGGGAACGTGGAGAAACAGGGACAGAGGGAGACTGAGAAACCACATCAGAGCATCAGCACGGGGAAGTGGTGTTCCAGAAATCAGCGCGGGGAGTGTCAACTGATGCAAAGATGCCAAGAATCACAACAACCAAAAAAGGCCCTCTAGAACTGACCTGGGTAAAATCTCTTCTAGTGACGTTCAGGAAGCCAGCCTGCAGTGGCGTCAGGAAGAAATTAAAAGTGAAGGAAAGAAGAGGAGCCCTGGCCAGTTTGACTCAGTGGATAGCCTGTCAGCCTGCGGACCAGAGGGTCCTGGTTTGATTCATATCAAGGGCACATACCTGCTTGTAGGCTCCTCTCCGGCCCTGGCCCTGTTGGGCGCTCGTGCAGGAGGCAACCAATTGGTGTGCTTCTCTCACATCGATATTTCTCTCTGTCTTTCCCTCTTCCACTCTCTCTAAAAATCAATGGGAAAAGATCCTCTGGTGAGGATTTTTTAAAAAGAAAAAGAAAGAAAAGAGAAAAGGAGATAACTGTGGGAGATAAACCCTTTAAAAAGTACTCAGCGTGAACATTATTACTGCCGATCGCCCCCAGATGTTTACTGCCTGCACTCAAGAAGCCAGAAACATGTCAAGGATCCAGGGTGGAGAAGGAGTAATAGGTGAAGCCGGGCCCAAGACAGAGGGGAGGAAGGAGCCCAGAGCACAGGTGGAGAAGGAGCGGGGGTCCTGTCCACTGGTGTGAGAAGGAGGGGTGGGTGCAGGCATGGCGTGTGTGACTGTAGGAAGAGGAAATTGAGGGAATCCAGGTATATGTGTTTCCAAGTCTCCCTCAGCTTCATCCTGAAAAGAGTCCTCGTTACCCAAACACTGACTATCCCAGTCCACGGGTGAGACCAGCAGCCCCAGAGACACCTGCACAGTTGGGGTGAGCAGCCACCTGAGGCTCCAAGCACCTGCCACCCCAGCTCAGATGTGATCCCCTCTGTGATAGCCCACACTGCATATACCCCACCCACCGGACAGGCCCTCTACTGCACCCCTCTCTCCACACGGCTTACATTGCATTGTGATTACACGGCGCTTTCATTGTCTGCTTGCATTTTGCCTCCCCAGCTACTCTTGGAACTTCTTTATCTCTAGGGCCTACAGATACTTGTAGGATGAGTTGAGCTATAGGATGAATTAAATTGAATTAAACAGAGTTGAAATGAACCAACATGACACTGAGGAACCCAGAGCAGTACATTCCCATAGCAAGAGGGTTGAGCAATACTCTAACTTCCCCATCAAGGGTCTCCCCAGAAGCCCACTCCCTCCAGAATGTCTCCCCAGTTCCTGAGCCACAGTGCCCCCCCCCCCCGCAACACACACACACACACACACACACACACACACACACACACACACCAAGCAGGTCCTCATTGCTTCTTATGGAACAGAGATGGCGCCGGCTCGCTGCTGGGCTCAGCCATGACCTGCATGGGCTGGTTGTTCAGGGCAGCCTCGCGCATCTTGCGGTACATGAACTCGTTCTGGTGGAACAGGCGCAGCTCCATCTCCGTCTGCATCCGCATGGCCTGTGGGACGCAGACACACCAGGAACAGTGATGACAAGCCCCAGGACATGGTGGCGCTGGCCTCCCTGGGCCCTTTTGGAAAAGGCAGGCAATGGGGTACATGACTCCCAGTCACCAAGATTCGACAGTGCCCCCTCAGAGGATACATCCACCGGGGCCCAGGGTCCTGGCCGTGGGTCAGCTTGTTAGGGAGTCAGACCCCTGAGAGAGTAGCTGAGGGGGTGTTCCCAGGAACCGTCAAGTGGGGATCTAGATCTGAACCCTGGCCCCTGCCCTGGGCCCCACCTTAGGCAAGTGATTGAATCCCTTCAGCCCTCGGTTTCCTCGTACATGAAAGGGGTAAGATGCCTTCCTACTTCCCAACAGGCCAGGAAAATGACAGTATGTGACACACACAACGAAGTTCTCCCTTCCCCATGTGTTCTTTTAAGAAATACTTATCGCCCAGCCAGTGTGGCTTAGTGGTTGATCATCCACCCATGAACCAGGAGGTCACGGTTCGACTCCCAGTCAGGGCCCATGCCCAGGTTGCAGGCTCAGTCCCTGCAGGGGGTGTGCAGGAGGCAGCCCATCAATGATTTCTCTCTCATCGTTGATGTTTCTATCTCTCTCTCCCTCCCCCTCTTCCTTCCTCTTTCTGAAATCAACAAAAACAAATTTTCTTTAAAAAGCATACTTAACAAGCGCCAGACATCGCTGAGGGGCTAAGGATGCAGCAGTGAATAAGATGGGCAAAATCTCTGCCTTTGACAAGCTTAAATCACTAGGCATGACGTCTGTCTCCTCATATACTTGATGACACCGAGTCTTTCATCTTCCCTACACTGCACTGTCTGAGGACAGCTCCTTGAACGCGGTCATTCTTGAATAAACCAGCCCTTCAAAGTGCAGAGGAAACCAGCAGAGACTGGGAGCATGCCATGTGCCAGGCACGGTTCTCAGTGCTGTTCACACATCAAGTCACTGCACCCTCCTTACAACCCTCTCCTCTTCCTCCGGTTTACCGACGAGGAGACTGAGGCCCACACATGCAGTATTTGCGGCCACATGGCTAGAAAGTGGAGAAGCTGGAACTCAGTCTCAGCAGTCTGCTTCTAGAGCCTGTGTTCTCCAGTCCACTCATTCTGTAATGCACATTTCGTCACATGCATAGCTACACACACACACACACACACACACACACACACACACGCACGCGCACACGCGCACACGCGCACACACACCATTATCTAGGTTTTCTCAGTCAAGCTTGGAGCATCTTAGGTTTCAAGTCTCAGCTTGTCATCCACCGGCTATTTGACTATGAACAGCTTACTGCCCTTCCCTGGGCCTCAGTTTCCTCATATGTAAACAAGGGGAGTGGGCTAAAGCCTTTGTGAGCTCCCTTCAGGTCTCGCAGGCAATGTAGGGACTTTCCCAGAGCAGAGTTCAGAAGTCAGCTCTCATCCTCAGAGAGCTCAGAGCAGGCAGGGGGGCCCGGCGTCAAGGTGCTACTTGCCTCTAAGTCCTTGGTAATTGGGTGGGTGGGCCCGTGTGTCACCAGGAGAATGGCATAGGCTTTGCAGATCATACCGTGCCCCACCTCAATGTTACCAGCATGCCAGTTGGTCAGCCCCGCCCGCATCACAGCCATGCCCAGTTGGGCATTGTTGGGGTGGTAGAGCTTCCTGTAGAGGCAATAAATAATCATAACACATAATCCCAGCCTCCCTTACATCGGCAGAGTATTTGACATGTTATCAAGTGCTCTCATTGAAGTCCTTCTGCTTTCCCACCAGTGCCACCATCTGCAGCCCGCTGGGAGGGGACTGAGGCGCAGGTGGGAGGTGGCCAGAACCCCACACAGGGAAACTGTAAGAGCTGAGACTTTCATCTGAGTCTCTGAGCCACATCGTCTTGGGGAAAGGAATCAGGATTGTACTCTGAACGTTACTACGGGAACCTGGGAGCTCTCTGGTGCACCCAGCCCTCTCCTGGGAAAGCAGTAGAAAGGCCAAAGGGAAAAGATTAACAAAAATGTCCTTCTTGGGGCAGAATTGCATTTTTCCCTCCATGGCACCTTCTTAACAGAGCTTCATTTTAATATGTTATATAGTTTTCCCACATTTTATTTATGAGTAACATCCTCCCCCAAAAAATGAACCTTCTTGTGCCAATGTGGTCATGTAGCCAGATACACAAACGCACATGCCACTGTGAACAGGACATCGGCAGAGGGAAGGCAAGGACATTCTATTTTATACTTTACAATTTTAATGAACGAAAGCTCACAGGATTTTCTGTGTTGGTTGTTAGGGTGGACCCTTTCTAAACACTTAAAATCCAGCTGGACTTGGCCATCAGGAAATCAGAAGCCACCAGCAAACAATAGATGCGCTGCAGGATTCGGGAAAGACCGGGGATGACAAATAGGTTTCACCTTAGGTACCAACTCTGAGTATTTGGTCATTATTACTAGGAGCACCATGATTAAAAGGCTCCGTTGTAAAGAGTCCCAATTACTGCTGCTTGCTGTGGGTTCAGGAGGGAGAGGTAGCAGCATGCGCGCCCTCTATTTGTCCTGCCTGGAGTAGACACATTTCCAGATTATCTGACACCCATGATTGTCACCTACACATAGCCCTCCACCATCCTCCTGGCGTAGTAGGAGGCCTCCTCAAACGCCTGGAGGTAGGAGAGGACCTCGGAAACGATGCTCAGCATCCTCAGCATGTAGATATTGGTGTCAGCAAACACCGAGTCCTGCTTCTCCAGGCACTCCCGGCACAACTTCACAACCTGGAAGAGACACAGACCTGGCCCGTGACCAATGCGCCATGGCACATGCTTAATCCACATACGGGAGCCGCACAATGACATTGGACACTCCTTTGAAAGTTGAGATTGCTCACAATATGCACAGTGGGGGCGAACAATCAGGCTGTCCTGCTTGAAGTGTTCAGGATGGGTGGGCAGAGAGGGAGGCTCCTGGGAAGCTGGAAGACCCATCAGGAGATCGCCCCATTGGCCCTGGTGAGAAGTAAGATGGGCCTGACCCCAATCAGCTTGGAGTCAGGCGTTTCCAATTGATTCACGTGCAGACATAGGCTTGGGTTGCACTCTACAGAGTCCAATGGTCCTTAGACTGGGGTTGTTCACTGTTCTCTTCTCTTTCCCTTGCCACTCTCACGGAGAAGTGCCGCACACTTCTTTCCATTTTAAGTGAATGGAAACTAACTTTGCTCTGAGACTCTCCCAGAGGCCCATGAGGCAACTGGGTGGGGGTGGGGCAACATATGGGCTGGCAATCAGTCCGTCCTGAAAGCAACTCCCTTAAACCCGTGGGCAGAGTCCAGCCCTACACCTGCCCTGACGATTTTGAATGGAGAAAAGGAGAAAAGGAGAAAAGGAGAAGGGGGAGGGGGGAGGGGGAAGGGAGAGGGGGGAGGAGGAGGGGGAGGGGGGAGGGGAAGGGAGAGGGGAGAGGAGGAGGGGGAGGGGGAGGGGAGGGGGAGGGGAGGGGAGGGGAGGGGAGGGGGAGGGGGAGGGGGAAGGGGAGGGGGAGGGAGAGGGAGAGGGAGAGGGAGAGGGAGAGGGAGAAGGAGAGGAGAAGGAGAGGAGAGGAGAAGGAGAAGGAGAAGGAGAAGGAGAAGGAGCAAGGAGAAGGAGAGGAGAAGGAGAAGGAGAAGGAAGAAGGAGAGGAGAAGGAGAAGGAGAAGGAGAAGGAAGGAGAAGAGAAGGAGAGAGAAGGAGAAGGAGAAGGAGAAGGAGAGAAGGAGAAGGAGGAGAAGGAGAAGGCGAAGGAGAAGGAGAAGGAGAAGAGAGGAGAAGGAGAAGGAGAAGGAGAAGGAGAAGGAGAAGGAGAAGGAGAAGGAGAAGGAGAAGGAGAAGAAGGAGAAGGAGAGAGAAGCCAAAGGAATGGAGCGAGTAGAGCCCTCCGGATTGCTCTGGCTCCATTACTGTGTCTCTGACATACACTTTCCATATTGTTCAATAACACTTTGTTCATGTGACCGCTTCCCCTGCCTAACAGAACTCCTGGGAGGCAAGGAGCATGTCTTGTGTGGATCACCCCAGAAAGGCCTCAAAAATGGGCCATGAATGAGTGAGTACAGGATGAAAATGAAGACCAGATACACACCTGAGTTGCTTAAGGAGCCTGGAAAAAATATGGATTTATGGTCCCTGTGCTCTGTTGCAGATAAGTTATATCTTAGGGGATGAGCACAGGAATCTGTTTCCAAGAAGCTATCTGGGTGAGTCCAATGCAAGTGCTCTGCGGGTCAGTATTTGGCAGTGGGTCTCAACTTTCGATGCACTTTGAAACCACGTTTGAGCCTTAAAAATCCCGATGTCTGGGTCCCACCCCAAGAGATTCTGGTAGAATTGTCCTGGGTGAGGAGCTGATTTTTCAGTGATGGTAGGATTTTTCAGTGATGGTAGTCTTCAGCCAGCTGAGAACTCCTGGTGCCCTGAGAGCAGGGCTGAAGGCTCAGTTACTGGAGCCTGGAAACTATCTCCAGGACATGCATTTAATTATGGGAAAGCGAGCAACCCTCTGCCACCCCCATTTCTCCATTTCTGGTGCCAACTTGTAATACCACAACCCCCCAGGGGCATTTGTCAGGCTGCCAGAGTTCTTCCCAGACCCAGTTTCAGCAGGTTGAACAGCCCCTGAGAACACACCCCTAAGAAGTGCTAAAAGCTTGAGGGCAAGAGGAGTCCTGGTCTCAACCAAAGGACATCTTTAGAAAAACAACCTGCTTGGTAGCCCACCCCATTTCCCTCCCTTTCTGCCCTCCTCCCCACCCCTATCCACCATAAAAATGAATTCTTACCTCGTGGTACAAGCCCTCAGAGCGAGCCTTGTCAATCTTTTCTAGTGTATCCTTGGAGAATTGTATAATCTCCTTGACCACATCCTGAGAGGGCTGGGAGAAAGAGGGACACTGAGTTACAGCTTTGCATAGTCACATCTTTGACATTCAATGTAGTACAAAATTAATGCCTTCCTCATTCTTTTTTTTAAAGAAAAAATATGTTTTTATTGATTTCAGAGAGAGGAAGGGAGAGAGAAACATCAATGATGAAAGAGAATCATCCATCAGCTGCCTCCTGTACACCCCCTACAGGGGGTTGCGCCTGCAACCTCAGCATGTGCCCTGACTGGGAAATCAAACCGTGACTGAAAGGACAGAATGGAACTGATAGCTGTGTCCCTAACGAAAGGACAGAACGGAACTGATAGTAAAAGAACAGAACGGAACTGATAGCTGTGTCTCTAACTCCTCTCCCAGGAAAGCCACAGAATGTATCAGTTACTCAGCCTACCCTTATCTCAGCCAATGGGAAAGCAAGGAAAAGTAGCCCCCAGCCCTCACTCAACCAACAGGGATCGACCAAGTGCCTCCACCCCCCAACCCCAAGCCCTATAAATTCTTTGTTCTCTTGGGGCTCTGGGCTCTCTCTCGCATCCAGTAATGGAGGCAGAGGGGGACCAAGCCCCGGCTTGAATAAAAGACTCTATGCTTTTGCATCGGACTCGGCGCTCCCTGGTGGTTCTGTGGGACGTCTTGAAATCTGGGCATAACATGACCTCCTGGTTCATGGGTGGACGCTCAACCACTGAGCCACACTGGCTAAGCACCTTCCTTGTTCCGAATGCTTCACTTCTATAAATGCTGTGCAAGATCCCTACAGCTTTTCCAGCTCCCTCAGCATGCTTCTGACTCATGCTGTCCTTTCTATTGACCAAGCCCCAGCACCTTGCTGCAGCCAATCATTCCTGCCCTGTGCTAATGCCTGGGCTTTGGACCCAGTGCAGAATCTGACATTGACCCCTGTTGTGTTTTCTCTGGCATTTTGGATTCTTATTTTATCATCCAAAGTATTTTCCACTTTTCCTTTGTACTTCAAGTCAACCATGTATACTAAAGATATCCTCTTGTTTTTTTGTCTTTACCCAAGTCATTGATTTAGATACTGGCCACCACAGGGCTGAAGCCGAGGCTGAGGATTTGACTAAAACTTTGTGCTCCAGTTTGCCATCGGAGTTCATGAAAGATAGCCTTTGTGGCTATGGGTATCCAAACCCTTCCAGTGCCTTAGCACCCAGTTCATGTTTCCTTGTTTTCACCAAAAACATATTATGAGAGACTTTGTCAGCTGTCTCCGTGAAACAGCGGTTCTCAACCTGTGGGTCGCGACCCCTTTGGGGGTTGAACGACCCTTTCACAGGGGTCGCCTAAGACATCGGAAAACACATATATAATTACATATTGTTTTCATGATTAATCACTATGCTTTAATTATGTTCAATTTGTAACTGAAAATACATCCTGCATATCAGATATTTACGTTACGATTCATAACAGTAGCAAAATTACAGTTATGAAGTAGCAACGAAAATAATTTTATGGTTGGGGGTCACCACAACATGAGGAACTGTATTTAAGGGTCGCGGCATTAGGAAAGTTGAGAACCACTGCCATGAAATGTAGACTCATTAGGCTTACCACATTTGCCTGAGCAGTCTAGTGATATTGTAAAAAAAAAAAAAAAAAATTAGGAAAAATTTATTGGCTATGCTTATCCATATTATAAGCTCTTTTCTGATTTTGTTCCTTAGGCAAATCTGATAAAGCTTTTTTCCAAAATAAAAATAACTTTATTGTTTATTCTTACTATAAATAGGCATGTGGAAGCTGTAAAAAATTAAAACATATGAAAAAAGTAGAAATCCCCAGAACCTACCCAAAAATGAACACAGCATTTTGAAGAATATATATATATACACTTTTTACAAAGTATTCCCACCAATATTTCCAGTACCCCCCTGGCACTGTACATAGTTATCAAAATATTATTGACTATATTTCCTATGCTGTACTTCACATCCCTGTGACTATTTGGTAACTATCAGTTTGTAGTTCTTAATCCTCTCATCTTTTTCACCCATCCCCCAAGCCCCTCCCTCTGGCGACAATTAGTCTCTTCTCTGCATTTATGGGTCTGTTCCAATGTTGTTTGTTTATTTACCTTGTTCATTAGATTCCACATAGAAGTGGCACCATATGGTATCTGTCTTTCTCTGACTTATTTCACTTAGCATAATATCCTCTAGGTCCAGCCATGCTGACTGAAACGATAAGATTTCATTCTTTTTCATGGCTGAGTAATATTCCATCGTGTATATGTACCACTGCTGGCAGGCCTCACGGGGCAAGCTGCCCTCCACCCCTGACTTGGTGCACAGACTCTGAAGGGTGTTGCAGTCCAGCACTCAGGCCCTGCTGGCTGCTCCTGCTGATGGAATATTTGCATTCCTAGCCCAGACTCCTTTATTCCTAGGTCTCTTCTCCTGAGGCCTTGGGCTGAGGTCTTCTTTAGGCACTTCTGCCACCGAGGCCTCCTTACTGGGGAGGTGGGGAGACTTGCAGACACTTCCCTGCTCTGAGTCCGTGCCCAGTGCTTTTCCTCTCCTAGCCCTTTCCCCATGCCCTCTCCCCAGGCCCCTCATCTCAGGGTCCACAAGCCCTTTATTCTGGGTCCCTCAGCAGGGGGAGGACCCCTACATCTGAACTGACCCACCTGACCCTCCACCAATGTACCTTCCCAAGGGGGCTAACGAAGCAGGGGGAGTGGCGCTGCCCCAGCCCAGCCTCCAGCTTTCCCACTGCAGGAAGTGATGGAGGGCACGCTGCTTTCATCGGCCGTTCCAGCACCTGCAGCTCCACCTTCTCCCAGCTCCGCTGAGCTCCTGACTGTGGGAAACTGTTTATTGCCTTCACTATCTGATAAGCATAGACAGAGAACACCCCGAAACCCCCGAAGGCTGGGTGCTTTTGAAGCCCTAGCAAAGCTCGGAGCTAGGCGTCACCTCTGTTTGTCCAGACAGTGGTAGCTGAAACTACTCCCCCATTTATTATTATGTAAATCCTTGCTGATGGGCTAGTCTGCTTGTTACTAGGGGGTCACCTGCCTAAGGGCTATGCTATGGGTGCATCCCAGATCAATAAAAGCTTGGTGAGGCCTGAGCACGGAGGAAGTCCTTTGGGACTTGCTGCCTGGTCCCCCAATATTGCAAAATTATCTCGTGTCTTTTTCTCTCATTTGTTGTGCGGCTCCTCTTTCAGATACCGAACCCTACTCCACGCGGGTCGTGGAAGGAGTCTCACTCAACACTGACATGCCCCTCAGTAAGCCTTCCCGCTGCTCAGTGGTCCCACCATCCATTTGGCAACAGCTCCTCGGGACTTAGGCGAATTAACCAATGTAAACAGTGCCCGATCTCCACACTGCCCATTTCCATGGGACCAGGAAAATCTTTGTGATAACCAGACAACGAATCTCTGCCCACCTGGTCTCAATATGTGTAATTCCCAGCATTATTTAAACGGCAAAGGGGCAAGGAGATGACTAAAACTTACTGGGTTTCCACTCGCCATGCCACACCCTTTATAGATGTACTTTTGTTTAATGCTCAGAACAACCCCTTATCATGGTTGCCATCATTCCTATTTTATAGACGAGAAAACGGCGTGATATCCCCAAACTCAAACACCTTGCACGTGGCAGTGCCCAGACACTAGCTGGGACGTATGAGCAGTGCACTGCCCCCCACCCATACAGCCTTCCCTGGTCCTCTGGGAACTACGGAGCAGGGTGCATTGATTCGCTGTGGGATCCCCATGCCTGGCTTCTGTGGAGGCGGCACAAACACCCCGCAGTAGGGCTGTGTGTACCTTTGGGTCATCTTTCACCCCCAGGAAGAGGTCATCCTTCAGCCCTTTCTGGCAGTGCTCGCACGTGCAGTCGAAGTAGTACTGCTTCTTCAGCTGCTTCTTGCGTTCTTCGCTGACGTTAAGGAAGTCGATGTAGGACACGGTCAGCTCTTCTCCTTCTGAGATCTTGCCCAGGGCCCGGAGCTCAATCCTGGAGCAGGGCGAAGGAAAAGAGCAAATCAAGTCCCCGGCTTCAGGGTGGCACCTGTGCTCTTCCGGTTTCAAGGAGCTGAGTCTCAAAGACAGTGACTCCCACTAGCACATGAGGAAACTCCCATTCCCTCCAAAATTAGAGAAGATGTGGCCTAACGGACAGTTTTCTGAGTAATTCTGCTCTACTCATTATAACAATCAAATCTGCTTCATTCCGTAAATCGCCCTGAGATCTGCTCAAATAGATTCCCGGGAGAGGACCGGCCTTGGTCTTAAAACCACATTGATTCCATGCCCACAATCATCCCTGTACATCAGCTACTGGTTGTTGGCAAAGAAAGGGAGAAATAATAATAAGGTGAAAACTCAAACAAGAGAAGACTCAAGAGTCATTCCTGCTTAGTTTGGGGACTGCTCGCTCAGAAACACACACATTCAGTGATCATCCATCTTGGCCTATTCTGTGAGTGACTGCAAGTCCCTTCTTACCTCAACCAGTGGTTGAGGAGACTTATTCAGCAAAGGCTGGCTCTGTTAGTCTGATGCATTGTTCACTTTTGTGTTTATTGGGGGACAGGGCTTTGTGGTCGAAGGTGGTTAGCAAGAGCAGATGGCATTTCAGCTCCCTTCCAGCCTAGACCTGACCCTCCAATGACCTACAGCACAGCCCACTCTGCCATGTAATAGATGTAGAATATGCTGAAAACAAAAGCCCCTGGTGAAACTGACACCCAGATTAGCCAATCATGCAGAGATCAGCCTGTGGGCCTCTCAGCCATGCACCAGGCCAGAAGCTACAGAAAACAAGTGGTGAGCCCTGAGTTGTGCTCCTGTGTCTCCCCAGGATCCTGGGGCCTCACCACCCAGTAGAAACGATCCCCCAGAGAGTGAGTGGCAGGTTGCAGAGGCTGGGCAGAGCATCTGCAGAGAGGTCCATGATCATTTCTTTTACTTCCCAGAGCAGCTGTCAGACACCATGAGAAAGGCCGGGACACAATTTCAGCACCACAGAAGGGTCCCAGCCAGAGGCATTCCCTTTGTGCTCCAAAGTGACAATCAAGCAGGCAGCTACTGAACAGCAGTGACATGCATGTCCAAGTGTCAGAGGTGACATGCCTTCTCTCAAAGAGGAGTCCACTGACATGCCAAATAAATGTGACACTATATATAAAAACAACTCAAATGGCACCTGCCAAGATGCAAGCTCCCCTTCATCTCCTGTTCCTTCCTCCCTTTCTTCCCACCCCAATTTTTGGCAGCAGCTGTTACTGAAGTGATGAAAGGCAAGAGGGAGGGGAGGGCCCGGTGATTCTACTCCGAGGTCTGCTTGGAATCCTAATATGTCCAAACTGCAGGGAATCCATCTTCTCAGTTCAAAAATGAGGGCGCTGATACCCAGAGAGGTGAAGTAACATCCCCAAAGGTCCTACATACTTTGGCCACAGAGTCAAGATTAGAACTCAAGTGCCATTCACACCTCACCTCATCGTATTGGCCTGATGGTGTTCAGTCGGCCTCCTGAGCCTGCAATGCATGGGAAGTGAGGTGCACCAAAGCCCTCAATTCTAGGACTCTGATGATGTCCTAAGTAGGTCCATGAGAGCAACTTTAGAGCCAAGGTTGAGTGTGGATCTTTGGCATTTGGTCCTGGTTGGGTAAGTAAACTGCTAACCTGCCCCTTTTACAGAGGCAGTTCACCATAGTAACATATCCCCATTCAACAGTGACTCAATGGTCAATAAGTTAGGGTTTCCAATAGCTTTACTTTCCATCATGGTTAAGCCAGTTCATACAAGGTTTCAGAATGTCTCAAATTATTTCAATGCTATTAACGAATTTTCAAAACCAAATTAATTTAATGTCACTTAAATATGAAAAATGCATACCCCATTTACTAACTGGGAATTTGGAGTCAGGGAATGAATAGTGATTACCGCTCCATTCTGGACCCCAGACCCCTCCCATCCGTAATGCTCTGCAATTTTATAGTTCAGTCAATTGAGCCACAAGTAGGCAAGCAATTTAAGCGTTTTTTAGAGGTTTGGAAGGTCCCTAGAGATGCTCTCATCTTGACCTTTGCTCTATGGATGTGGAACAAAATGCCCAGATGATGTGAATCATTCAAAGTCACGTGCAATGCATGCCAACACAGTCTCAGGTTCACAAACCACTCCTCCCCTGCATTCCCAAAGCACGAACCCCCATGCAGCATTTTGTTCTAAATCCAAAGAGCATTTCAAGTACTTTTAAGCCCCATTTGAGAAAAAGACCCATCTGGGACCTTTTGGTAGTGATTAAGAAAAGTCAAGAGTAAAATCTAATCTAAACCACGAATTCATAGCTGGCCAGCGCAGTAAACGGAATGCTATGAATAAATATTTATCAAAATATCACAGTTATGGGTGCGATTTTCAGAACCCAGTCTGGGTGAGAGGTTGGGGGTTATAAGCAAACACATAGTCCTTTAGTAGGTCAGTAGTATCAGCAGTCCTCACTTCATGGCAAGCAGGGTTTAGAGGGATAAACCTGGGTTTTTGCCAAGATGATGTGGACCAGAAGAAACAGTTGCACTTTGAGGTTGGAGGAACGAAAGAAGTAAGGAGTGAAAGAGGAGAAAGGAAGAAAACAAAGTAGCCCTGGCCAGTGTGACTCAGTTGGTTGAGCATCGTCACATACACAAAAAGGCTGACAGTTCAATTCCCGGTCAGGGCAGGTGCCTAGATTGCAGGCTCAATCCCCAGTAGGGGGAGTGCAGGAGGCAGTCTGTCACATTGATGTTCCTCTTTCTCTCTCCCTTCCTCTCTCTCTAAAATCAATAAAAAACATTGTTTTAAAATGGAAAACAAAAGCATGTCAGGTAGTGGGTGAGTAAAGAACAAAATGATTAAATGCATTAAGAATAGGCCTGGCCGGCAGCTCAGTGGTTAGAGCATAGACCCAAGCACCAAAGGGTCTCAGATTTGATTCCCAAACCCAGTTGGGGTACATGGGGGAGGCAACCAATCTATGTGTCTCTCTCACATCAATGTTTCTCTCTCTCTCTCTTCTCTGTCTCTCCTCCTTCCCTCCCTCCTTTTCACTCTCTCTCTCTCTGAAAAAGCAATGGAAAAAAATATCCTCGGGTGAGGATTAACAAATTTTAAAAAAAAGAACAAAAAATACAGCATTCAAAAAAGAAGGACATACGGACAGACAGCAGCCACAGAATCTTGGGAAGGGGCATCTTGGGAACCGGGTAAGTGAGGGAGGTGGGTCAGAGGAGCAGGGAAGTTTGCAAAAACTGACCCACCTCATCTGGGTGTGAAACATGGATTTCACTGCCTCATGACTGAAAGACAAAACAGACACCCAAATGGAAATCATTACCATTGACTGACCCCGCGCGGCTAGCAAACGTGCCCAGTATTTCAGATGCAATCAGAGCTTTGGCCATAACAACGACCTCTAGCCCAGCCCCTGTAGCCCAGCCCCTGAAGTCCAGCCCCTGTAGCCGGGCTCACTTGACAAGGTGTGCCTGGTATACAGTGGGGCCTTCACTTACGAGTTTAATTCGTTCGGAGACCAAGCTCGTTAAGGAGTTCGTTAAGGAGTTCGTTAACTCAAATTACTCTATCAACTCAATGCAAAAAATCAGGGGGAGAGACAGCTGGTATCTCAAAAAACTCGTTAGTCGGGACACTCATAAGTTAAGGCCCCACTGTAGTGGAAATTTCACTGGATTTGGAATGAGAGGTTCTGAGTTCAAAAGTACACAGCCCTGGACAAGTGACTTCCCTTCCCAGGCCTCACTGTTCTCATCTATAACTGGGCAATAAGACTCATGAGACAGTGCATTTAAAAGTAGAGCACTTTTTTAAAAATGTACGGGAAGCGTATTATCCCACTAACAAGAACCTTGGACAAGTAAGTGTTGCCTCTTGATGTCCATCTCATGGAGAGTTGGAGCCCTATAGGGAGGCTGGGTAAGTCACACAGGTGGTAGATAAAATGATTGAGGTGTGAATTGGGCTCCTAACATCACGACCAGTGTTCTTTCCACGACGGCAGGCAGCTAGGCAGCGACTGAAAAGTCACCTTCTCTTGGACAACAACCAAGAAGCCCGGGTGAAACCTGGCTGCTCCAAATGAGTGGCTGCATAGAAGCCCGAGCAGACACTGGAGCTGATCTGGAAAAAGGGTTCTGCGCTCCTGTGGCAGTTACACGCAGCGAAAAGAAGAACCTGGGTCACCATTGCTTAGTGAAAGGGGTTCAAGAAAGACCAGCCCCGTACGTGAGTGAATTTGACCCTCTCTACCAACCAGGCTAACCCTGGACAACAGCTCGTCTGGGGAGGATTCCATGAAGTGATCCCAAGAGGCGTAGGAAGGGAAACACAAATGCTGTGAAAAAGATTATCATCTGGATCCAAAATAAACTTCCCTGTCTTGAGTGACTTTCTCAATTGCTTAGGAGCCTGGTGTCATGTGGGCCCTTGCTTCCAGAAATAGGAAGGAAAAGGGAAACTAGAGTCCCCGCTATATTGGAGCTTAAGCTTGAATCTTAAGCTAAGAACCGAAACCATTGACTTTGTTTTCCAGGAAGTTTTGGGGAGAAACTTGCTCATTGTTGAGAACTCAGTCAACTTGTATCTGTCATAAGAGCTTGTCTCTAAGAGCAAAAGCAATATTGCTCAGGCCTCGTTCTCAAAATCCCCCCAGCCTGAGCCAGGGACAACCGGGGCTCACACTCTTTGCTGACTCTTCTCCATTTGTGTCCCACCCCCAAATTCCCTTCTGTCCCCTCTGTGCCTTATTTGGGGGAGGGCACTAACTGACCTCTGAGGACTTCATCACCTGTTTCCTTTGCCCTCTGGCTTCTGGTTGGGGTTTGGCCAATGGGAAGAGATCAGAAGATGGGAGGAGTGCGGTTGGGCTGTTAGGTCTCCTGGCTCCCTCTCTGCCTTACCGTGGTTCTAGCAGTGGCTGGTTTCTCTACAGGCACAGCCACGCTGTTGGAAGGGCCTCTCCCGTGGCTGTGGCTCTCAGCAAGCACAAAAACAGTACTTCTTCCATTTGCCCTTCCACGCTAGAGATGATCGTGGTTTCGTGCTGTAGCTAGACCCTGGATACCTCACCATTCTTTATTAGTTGCTTAAATGCTACTCGCACTTCTAAGTTCTCTTCAGATTAACGCTGACTGTGCCTTTGGATTTCTGCTGGGACCTTGACGGACATATGCTTCTCAGTTGATGTTTTGTAATGACCTCAAGGCATCAAGTTTTAAAATAGTAGTTAGAGGTTTATCTCACATATCTAGGCAACCTCAAGAAACATACAGAGACTCAGAAATTACCCATGTGGAGTTCTCTGCTATCCTCCCCATTACCTTTCTCCTAACCACAAACATTCTACAATGAAATTTCTATTTCTTTCCCATTTGAAAACCATGTTAGTTCATGAACCTTAGGCTTAAGTCAAGTGGCGAGAACACCATGAGGTCTCTCCCCCACCCCAAATCACAGCACCCCCAGTGAGAGACATACTCACTTGCCGTTGTTAAAGATGACGGTGCAGTTGGGCCAGCAGTCATGGTTCACCAGGCCCAGGTTGGGGAAGATGCCCACGCCCACTGCCTGCAGGCCCCTCTGATCACTGAGTGTGAAACCATTGCAGTTAATCTACCCAGAGAAAAAGATAAAGAGTCAGCTGACACACACAGACTGGGGACACAACACCATCCTCGCTACTGAAAGGTGTTTTTTAAAAAGTAGAAAACCAGTCTCATCCCAGAAATGCTTAGAGTCTGGAAACAAAAGGGTCTCTGCTCTCTGTGTAATTCTAAATGACCCTCTAAATTAGTATCGGGGAGACTCCCATGTTTGCTAAAATGCAGCACTACCTTGAACGTTTTGGGTGGCTGTATTCTAAAAAGGCCAAAGAATGTCGGGCCAGTTGGTCTAGTGGTTGAGCATTCACCTATGAATCAGGAGGTCACAGTTCAATTCCTGATCTGGGCACATGCCCAGGTTGTGGGCAGGAGGTAGCCTATGAATGGTTCTCTCTTATCATTGATGTTTCTATCTCTCTGTCCCTCTCCCTTCCTCTCTGAAATCAATTTTAAAAAATGATAAAAAATAAAAAGGCCAAAGATAGAAATGTTGATTCAGACAGTCTCTCCTTTTCCTGTACCTGGGTCTCACATGAGTCTTCCCCAGTATCTATTTGGTTTCTCTCTCCATGCACTACTCTGCCTTCCGGTGTGTGTGTGTGTGTGTGTGTGTGTGTGTGTGTGTGTGTCCTCTGCTTTCTTTGTCTCCCTACCCTCAACTCCTATAGCTGTTCATAAGAGAAAATTGACATTTCTGTTTTATTGCGTCTGCTGGATATTTTATACTCCCTGTTCACAATTTTAAATTCTGATGGGTGCAACATTTATTTATAAATCCAAGACAAATCAAGTTGGTTATTATTTATATGACACTCGATTTATTTCCTTTCCCTTAAAAATAAGTGGTTCTTTATAGAAACAGATTCCAAATATCTGCTAGCAGGGCATGGAAATGCATAAGAATAAATATAACCTAAACTACATTGACAACTGCAGATATTTCTGCTTTATATTTAAATAATAACAGAAATACATACTATGCATAATAAAATATACATTTGCATGTGTATATTGATATATATGGCACATGGCTATTTGCTCTAGAATTGGAGGACTGTCACTTTCTCCATTCATCTCATCAGTCATTCAGCAAATACGTGAAGTTAAGCCTGTCAGGACTAACAAGCTGTGTTACCTTAGTCAAATCTCTTTCTTCTCTGAGCCCCATTTTCCCATCTGTAGGTTGAGAGAGTTGGACCAGATGATCTCTACGGTCCTTTTAGCTCTACACTTCGGTAATTATGCCATCCTGTGGCTGCAGTCCCCAGGCCCCTGGGGTTACCCAGGATGGTCTATGACACACAAGCCTGTGGAGCCCAAGTGCTAGGAGTAGCAACTCCAGCACCAGGCAGGCCGCTTCTAGCCCTGCCACGGACACCAGCTCACTGTGTGGCCTGTGGAAGGCATGTAAATCTCTCTGGGCCTAGGCTTTCTGTTCATAAAATAGGAATGTTAAAGGCATGAATTTCACCGTGGGTGGTAAAACTTGCATAAAATAATACATGGGAAGCTATGGTAGTTAATTTTATATGTCAACTTGGCTGGGCTGCGGTGCCCACATATTTGGTCAAACATTATTCTGTGTTTCTGTGAAGGTGTTTTTTGGGTAGATTAGCATTTAAATCAGTAGATTTGGAATAAAGCAAATTATCCTGCACAACGTAGGTGGCCTCACGTGATCAGTTAACAAACTTAATAGAACAAAGACTGACTTCCCCTGAGCAGGAAGGAATTCTGCCAGCAGTCGGCCTTTGGACTCGAACCACAACTATTTTGGGGGGCGTCCTGCCTGCAGGCTTATCGGCAGATTTTGAATTTACACTCTACAATCTCAGGAGCGAATTCATTAAAATAAATCATCTCTGTCAATAGGTAGATAGATAATTGATATAGATATATAGATGATAGATAGATAGATAGATAGATAGATAGATAGATAGATAGATAGATAGATAGATAGATGACTGTTTCTCTGGGGAACTCTGACATTACAGAGGCACTGGCACATGGTAACAACTAGAGATGTTGGTTATGATCCTGCTGTTGTTATTATGACAATAACCTCCCTCTTCAGCCCGCTTACCAACCCCACAGAAGGTGCTGGGCCTGCCAGAATGAAGACATCTATCCCCACAGCCCAAGACCTGGTGACCCTCCGGACTCCCACCCCCACCTCCTGGACTCTCAGGGCTGCGAGAGAGGGGCCCTTATTCTCCTCTCTCTGGCTTCCACACCCACTACTCCCATTATCCTTCCCCTCAGACCTCAGAAAAGGAAGGGCCATATTTTCAAGGTGACTAATAGGCAAGAAGGGATGGTAATTGGGTCTTTGTTTTCAAAGTGGAAAGGAGAGAATACAGGACATGCAGATAAACAAGGAGGTAAAATAACATCCGAATCTACCATTCAGAGATAATGGAAAGTCTTGTTGGGATGCCAACGTCAGATGGGGCAGGAATGACCTCACAGTAAGCAAGACCAAAAGGACAGAGGACAGGGTGACAGTTGTCCATTCAAGGGCTCTGTCTCCCTCCAGTTCTTCTCTTGGCCCTTCCTCCCCACTCTGGCCTGGCAGCATCTGAAAACTTATTCGGTGGACAATCCCAGCTGTCACCCACCCCCACCTCCACTTCATGAGAAACCATACCACGCCAAAGATGTGGGAGATGTACTGCATGCTGAACTGCTGGCTCTGGGGCAGCCAGTACTGCAAGAAAGTATCCACGTCCACCCGCAGCTGCTTCTGCTCCTCCTCCCCAAAGTTCTCCACGTGGTTCTGCAGGTCGTCCACGGACACCAGGCAGCCCTCTGTGAGCCCGGTGCCCTCTCTCTCCACCCGCCACATGATGCGTGCAGCCAGCCTGTGGAGAAGGGCCGGGTTAGGGAGACCCACTGCTTCCATTCATTCAACAAGTACGTACTGAGTGCTTAATGCATGCCAGGCACAGTGCCAGGCCCAAGATAGTTTTGAAATAGACAGAATTTCTTCTATCATGAAGTTTCTTATAGTGGGGGAGACAAAAGTTTAAAAGATCATTAAACTGGTGTTAAATGCTGTGCAGAAAATAGAATCAGGTAACATGATAGAAAGTGGCAGGGGGTGGAGGAGAAGACAAGGGGACCCGGGGAGGTGGCAGGGGTGAGGCACACTCGAGCTGAACAGAAGGAGCCAGCTCTGTGTGCAATGGGGAAAGAGCAGCGAGTACAAAGGCTCTGAAGGAGGCATGAGCTTGGCATGAAGAAGAAACAGCAAGAAGACCAAAGAGGCTGCAGCACAGAGCGTGAGGAGTGGAAAACAAATAAAGGTGGAGAGGTGGGCAGAAGCCAGGTTATGTGGGTCTAGCAGAGCCTGCATGGGGTCTGGGGACACCATGAGGTATGGCAGCCTGGGTCTCTCCTGGTAGTTTGGCTACTGAGATGAGCACTGGCAAAGGAGCCTAATGACCTGGGTTCAATTCTGTTTCTGTTTCTTCCTGTGTGACCCTGGGCAAGTCATTTGACCTCCCTGAACCTTTCCAAACATCAGTAAAATGAGGACAACATATATTCCCTGTCATGCTAACCTCCAGAGGCATTTGGGAGATCTTTGTGTGTAAACTTATTTATATTCTTAATGATTGGATAAAGAGAAGGTGAAGAAGACAATCTAGGTGGAGAGACAGTATAAGCAAAGGCCTGGATGCAGCCAAGAGCATGGCATCAGCAGGAAGCAGGAAGGGATCTGGCCTGGCTGGAGCAGAGGGCTCAGGAGAGCTCAGGGCTTTGAGTGTGAGACAGAGGAGTGTACTTAATCCTGAGGGCAGAGAGGATCCCCTGTTAACGAGTAAGCAGCCCATACCTACAAGATGAAGCCTTTACCCTAGGGACACGTTGGCAACTCTGCCATTCACTGGCCAGGCACCAGGGAAGGACTGGTGGCCTAGGACAGAAACCCCCTGGAGAGGAACCCCCTTGGAAAAGTATGGCCCTTGTTTCCTCTCATTTGGGACATGGGGTTATTTCCACAGAGATGCCCTGCCAGGGACCCCAGGCGCCTGAGAACCAAGATGTCCCCACATGGAGCACAGGATAGAATTGGGGGAAATAAGATTTGGTCTGGGGTGTCTGCTACCTCCAAATATTAGGAAGAATGTCACAAAGCTCAGAGATTAGAGACTAATGGGTGACATTAGTCACCCATTAGACTGGACTAATCAGTCCAGTATCAGTATTTTGTAAACAGGGTAGATGTATTGAGCTCTAGCTCATTTTGCCAAATCTTCAGATTTTTTTTCAAGACAGGCCAAAAAAAACCTCATTTTTTTAAATGTGAAATTTCCAATTTTTGAACATTGGCAGATTAATATTTTTAAATTAAATATTAGGGAGCCATACAGAATGGGTCTGCAGCCAGCTCCAGCCCGGGTCTGTATTTTGGTGCCATTAACCTGTCCTCCCTCTTAGACGGGCTCCCAGACCTAAAGGGAGCTCACAGACGTGGCCATATCCGGTCTCTTGGGGGCGCTGTCCTGCTTTTGCACTTAGCCCGACTTCCTTGGGCCTGGGAATGCTGTCACTGCCACCACCCCCGCCCCCTGACATCCGGAAATCCCAAACATTTCCGCAGGGCCCAGCTCTGACCTGATGTTCTCGTTGGGCACCTTCCCGTATCTCTTGATGGCCAAGCACTCCTTCTTGTGGTCTACCCACGCATCCTTCTGGCAGGTGCGGTCACAGTAACGAGCAAACTTGCACTGCCCACAGTGGTGGAGCTTCTCCTGCCTCTTGAAGCAGGTGTGGCACACAAAGTTAACGAGGCTGGAAACAGAGGGAGAAAACGTGACTAAATTCCAGGGGCGCCACTGGCCTTTCAAAGACGGCAGGGCCATCCTTGTCTTTCTAAGCTTCAAACTCCCACTTTTCAGAGAGAGGGGCCAGGCTTCCAAAGGCCATTAGCTGTAACTATCTTTCTAGCAGATATTTTAAAGTGAACCAAATGGGAGCACTACCGAGCTCTGCATATAAGCCCTTCAAGTTAACTCGGCAAGTATAGGTGTATGACCTACAGGCACTGGGACTCCCACAAGTGGCCAGAGGGACAGGGGAACCTGTAATCACCGTACAGTGCGGGGAGCGCTGGGATAGGGGAGGCACAAAGTGTTCCTGGCACTGATATGTATTCATGTACATATATTCATATACACATACACATTTCATGTAGAAACTAAAATTTGTACCTACCAAACATATATATTACATTTCATGGTTCTCACACTGTTGCATTGTTTTACATTTTAAATGCTAATGAGCCCTGGCCTCCGTGGTTCAGTAGGTTGAGCATCATCCCATGCATCGCAATGTCCCCGGTTCAGTTCCTTGTCAGGGCACAATGCCCAGGTTGCTGGCTCAACCCCCACATCCCCAGTAGGGGGCGTGCAGGAGGCAGCCGATGGATGGTTTTCTCTCTTCCTCTCCTTTCCTCTCTAAAATCAATAAAAACATATTCTTTTAGAAGCTAATAAAAACTCCAAGTGGTCACCTAGAATAACAGAAGTTCTGCTTCTTTATCTTTTACTGCTGAATTCTAAGCTGCTTACACTGCAGGGAGAGGTGGTGTCTCGGAGATTGGAGACATCACTGTGGCCAGCGTAAGCTCCAACAACTCTGAACCCTAAAAACTTACCTGACAGCAAACAGTGCAGCCAAGTGCGCATGTGTTAGGGGCTGGCGATCCAAAAGAGAGTCCTCCAAATTAACTTCCAGGCAGAATACAATGTTTGTTCAAGGATAAGTAATTTTAAATGTGCTGATTTGAAGTTTACTCAACAGCAATCTTTCTTTTTTTAGAGCAATATAGATTTTTTTTTTCCCAAGGGAGAGTATTTCGCCTCTAACATTGTTTAGAATTGCTGGGGCACGGTGAAAACTGACTTTTACTAGTTTTGTTATTGTTTTTAAATCCTGTGCAGAGAGCGCCCCCTTACTGCCTGCACTGGGTATGCACCCTGGCACTGCCCTCTCGGCTGACACTGCCTGGGTGTCTCATTAGGGCAGACCTTCCTAACCTGGCACAAAGGGAGCGAATACACCTGCCATGGCACTTGCCTCCAGGCTCCCGGGAACTGACTCAAAACACTTCAACAGCGCCTGCTTAGAGAATAGTCTACCTGCCATGAACTACAGGTATGTCCATAAGAAATTCAGTAGAATGCCCCTCCGGTCTTCAAAGTCACTAATAACCACTTTGTCCAGGAGGAGGCGAGACACAGCCCTGGAGTGAGGCAAAATAAACTTCACCCCAGCCCAGCACAAGCTGGGCTTGCGGGCTCAATCCCCAGTAGGGGGCGTGCAGGAGGCAGCTGGTCATTGATTCTCTCTCATCATTGATGTTTCTCTCTCTCCCTCTCCCTCCCTCTCTGAAATCAATAAAAACATATTTAAAAAATAAGAAAAAAATAACTTCATCCCATACTGGGTGGTAGACCTTTACAATCATGTATATAACCACTTATCAGGTCTTGAATCAATTCAATATCAGTTCAATAATATGTCACTTTCATATGAGATTCTTTACAATCACTCTGCTATAATAAATTTCTCATTACTTTTCAGAAGAAGAAAATGTGTCCTGGCTGGGTGCTCAGTTGGTTAGAGCGTTGTCCTGATACGCCAAGGTTGTGGGTTTGATCTCTGATTAGGGTACATACAAGAATCAACCAATGAATGCATAAACAAATGGAACAACAAATCTCTCCTTCTCTCTCTCTCTCTCTCTCTCTCTCTCTCTCTCTCTCTCTCCAACAAATTTTTTTAAGAAGAAAATAAAATGTGATGATTTTGAAATGATTCTTTTTCTCATGATGAATTCATAGTGCAGCGTTTCTCAACCTTCTGGCCCTTTAAATACCGTTCCTCATGTTGTGACCCAACCATAAAATTATTTTCGTTGCTACTTCATAACTGTAATGTTGCTACTGTTATGAACCATAATGTAAATATCTGATATGCAGGATGGTCTTAGGCGACCCCTGTGAAAGGGTCGTTCGACCACCAAAGGGGTCGTGACCCACAGGTTGAGAACCGCTGTCATAGTGGGTTCCAAGTGTTAACTACCAAACTCTTGTCTACAGGCTCACACACCTGTTTTAGATTCCATCCCAGTTCTTCTGGGGCCTGGAGTCAAGCTTTAAAGGTTGGAGAAGCCCAGCAAGCATGTGAGTAATCTCCTAATTTAGATCCCCTAAGAATGAAGTCGACCTTTCTCCCCATTACCTCACCTGCTGGTAAGGCTTAACTGAGAAGGAAGGGAGAAGCTGTGATGCGAAGCAGGGCTTCTCAGACTCTGGTGGGCATCACGTCATCAGAGATCTTTTAAAAACCGGATTCTAATTCAGTGGGTCTGGGGTGGGGTCCGAGACCCTCCATTTCTAACAAGCTCCAGGTGATCCTGATGCCACAACTCTGAGCAGCAAGACTCTGGATGTGGGGAACCGATATAGGGTTGACCTGCTGGCAAAGTCACAAACAAGTCCCAGCTTAGAGGGCTCAGTCCTCTTAGCATAATTAGGCTTGACCTTATAACACTCCCAGATCTTACCTGGGAAGCTAATGGGCTGAGGGAAGTGCAGGAAGTGTAACTATGGTCAAAACAGGTGAAACTCACAAGAACTGTGTAACTATGGTAACCACTACCTTGTTTACCTCTGACTATAAAATGGTTGGTGTAGCCTGAGCACTGGTGGAAGTCCTTCCTCTTGAGTTGGACTTACCCGCCTGGCCCCCCAATATTCCCAAATTATCTCGTGTCTTTTCTCTTTCATGTGTGTGCAGCTCCTCTTCCAGATCCTGAACCCTGAACCACACGGGCCGTGGAGGGAAACATTTACAACATCTGGAGATGAGAGAAAACTTAAATCCCACTCCTTCCAGTGGGGTGTGCAAGGAAGTATCGGGTAGGCAGAAATGGGAAGTTTTAAAATTGTGTCCTTCTGCTCTCCATCTCCTTACACTGGTGGCAGGATGGGTATTATGGAAAGTCAGACCTGAAGTCAGTCTGGGTTGGGTTCAATTCCGGATTCTAGTATCTACTGCCTGTATGACCTCAAGCAAGTACTCTAACCTCTCTGAGCCTTGGTTTCCTTATGTGAAAATGAGAATAGCAACACCTAGATCTTGATAATCTCTTAGACTAATGACTATTACTTTTTTAATGAAACATACTATTTTAAAAATTCAAGCAAGAAGAAAATTACAAAGAAATTCCAAGCCTGGCCTGAGTGGCTCAGTGGTTGAGCATCGACCTATGAACCAGGAGATCAAGGTTCCATTCTTGGTCAGGGCACATGCCGGAGTTGTGGGCTTGTCCCCAGTAGGGGGCATGCTGGAGGCAACCAATCAATGATTCTCTCTCATCATTGATGTTTCTCTCTCTCTCCCTCTCCCTTCCTCTCTGAAAATCAATAAAAACATATTTTTTTCAAAAAGAAATTCTAAAATCGTACCACTCTTGAAGTGATCTGGAGGGTTGAATGAAATAATGAGAAAACTACGCAGACCCTGGCACAGGATGAGTGCTCAGTGACGCCAGCCCGGTTCCCCATCCATCTGTCACGTAGCCACGCTGAGCCACATTGAGTATGAGCTTCTGCCCCGCTTCAGCACCCACTGTTTCTCTGGCAGCCAACGGAGAGGAAGACCTCCGGGTTGGAAGAGGACCCCTGTTGGGTGAAAGGGTACTTCCTCCACAGAAACACATTATCCCCTTCTTCACAGCTCACGTAAGAGAAAATCCAAAAGACATGAAGCCCTCAAACCTGGTGGATTCCAGGAGAAAGTGCGTCATCCAGACGGTGTGGCTGGCTGGTCGCCAGCAAGTCTCTCTTCTAGTCTCAGTTTCCCGGTCCCCACAGAGTCCCATTCACACCACACTTAGAAATATGTTTTCAACCAATTCTCTTTTGTTAAACCTTCACAGCAAGCCCCTTGATCAACATCCTTACAGGGATGTTATTCTCAGAGGGGTCTCTGAGGCCTGACACTGCTCCCAGCACACAGGGCAAAGGGAGCCGCCAAGCCCACCTGGTCTGCCTGCAGCCCTGAGTGTGCTTGCCCCAGCCAGCGGGTCCCCACTCACTCTTTGCTCTGCAGGCACTGGGTTATGTCATCTGTCACAGTCAAGGGGCATGGAAGGGCAGCTGCTGCTCAGCTCCTTGTATGGAAATAACCAATTACTGGGCAGATAAACACACAGGGAAGGTCTCTACAAGTGAGGCGAGCCCTAGAGTCTAGCCAGAGAGCAGGGGACCCACAGTTCTGGCTGGCTGGCTGCTTAAACACTCTCAGCCAGCCAGGAGGACTCCCCTCAGAATTCAAGGGGCAGGAGGCATATCTTAAAGAACATCCCATCCCTCAAGTACCCAGAGAACTATACAATATTTATTTTATTTAAATATATATATTTGTTGTTGTTGACAGTATTACAGATGTCCCCAATTCCCCCCACCTTTACCTCTCTCCGCCCAGCCTCCACCCCTCCCCTTAGGCCTTCGCCACACTATTGTCTGTATCCATGGGCGAGGCATATAAGTATATAAGTACTTTGGTTTATCTCTTCTCATTCCCCACCCTCCCACCCCCAAGATATGTCAGTCTGTTCCATGCCTCCATGCCTCAGGTATTATTTTGTTGGTCAATTCACTTTGCTTATTAGATTCCACAAATAAGTGAGAGCATGTGATATTTGTCTTTCTCTGATTGGCTTATTTCACTTAGTATAATAGTCTCTAGGTCCATCCATGCTGTCCCAAAGGGTAAGAGAT